CGAGACCTTCGGCGTCATGCTTCCGCAGGAGGGTGCCAGATTTTGAACATCGATTCTGATAAGCGACGACTGAACGAGTTCCCCTCTGATCCTACTAAAAACCTTAAACACGGACGCTTACGCTAGTAATTTCTTCTAAAACCCCCTTAGACCCCGCCCTTTCTACCAGCGACATCCCAAAAAAGGGCTTTTACGGGAGTACTTCTTTTCTGAATTCCATTGTTTCCGAGTAAAGCTTTGTATATAACCTTCTACGGCTTCGTGTCCCTCGAGCGAGGAGGATCCACTGGACCAGCACGCGACAGGGACGAATGGAGACGTTGCTGGCGCCCGCTCGAGCAAATCGACGATCAACGGGACGACAGGTGATACAGGTGATAATTCTATGACCACACACTGTACAGGAAAAGAAAAATTTGGTCCCTACGCGCGATACCTTTAAATCCAGTGGAACGATGTGATTATGCAGGAATTCATACTGCTACACCCTTACAATTCAAGCTCAGCTCGATCTTTCCGAACTAGAACATTTCGTGGGAAATTCCCATACAGGCTATTTCTAATGAAACGACCAAAGTTTATTCGCGCGATACATCGATTTACAACCGAACCAGTGTCACGAGAAAACAACTTGCTTCGTTTTTTCTTTTAATCGAAAAAAAATTGAATGAAATAGGCGAGACAAATAATAGACTCTGCAAAATGCACCAAAATAACAATGTGTGAGAGACAGGGAACTGCTGTGTCATCTAGCGATGAAAATCGAAACAGTGTACATACTCGAAAGCGTGGGCGTGCACACTAGCTGGAACTATAGAACGACATGGTGAAAATGTGGTGGGGTGCAACAAAATGATTGGTGCGAGTGAGAGATTGAATTGCTTGCTTGACTCGCTAGTGTTCACGCCGTTATATTCAACTAGAAAATACACATCATAAAACAAGCGCACAACTCTTAACAACCTGAACTTTAAGTATAACGCTATAGGCGTCGATCTTTGTACGTCGTCCGTATTCAACAATTACTGAAATTATGCGCTGCGGCGGTTGCGGACGCCATCAACGCTCACGGGGTAAAAAAAAAGCATCACGATACGATGCACATATGGAAATGTCTCCAAGGGACAGCAGTAGGAATAGAAGCTAACATGAGACGGACATGGCAACGAGAGTCGAATTCAGCGGAGGAAATCGCTACAGCCTCACGAACACAATACAAAAAATAGATATGTGGTCAAAACGACATTACCGCTCGTTTAATAAAATAAAATTATTGATTTTATATCTGTTCAGTTTGTAAAAACAACAGTTTTGTTGGATCTCAGCTTAATCAAGTTCAGCTTAACAGCAGTAGCAGAGCGGAGTTAAGCCAGTTAAAATCCACGGAAAGACGGCTGTCGAAAGGGGAGCACGTCCACTAGCCCAGCTGGGTGGATCTAGAGAACAGACTAATAAAAAACAGGTGGTGGATGGAAAACTCAGCAGAATCATAGGTAAGGGGTAGGGTAGGGGTTAGGCTTAGGTTCTTACCCCATGAAGGGTAAGAGCCCTTTGAAAAACGTAGCGCTTACGGCAGCATAGTACTAGCAGGGTCAAACCAGTATCGCTTCTCATAGAATCAGATGGCCCGGAAAAGGCAGATCAGCACACCCAGTCCCTGGAGAGCGCACAATAGGACCCTCGGAGGAATTTCTAGGCTAGCCTGACAGGGTAACCCCCAAAACGTTTCCCTTTCCGAAAAAAAACACCCTACATTCATCTCCCAGAAATGCAACTTCCCCTCTCACTGAATATGAACTCCCTTTCAAAATTGCAAATACAGCCCTGTTGAAATTTGACCAATGAATAAATGACCCTTGAGATGCTCCCAGATGAATAAGTTACTCGCCGCAAAAAAATTGAAGCTAATGAGGTTACAGTAATCAAGAGGAGCTGTTCAGGTGAACAGGGATAGACGAGGGAGGAACCCTGAGCGCAATTAAGAGGACGGAGTTCTAGTAGTTCGCAGAGTAACCCAACAAGGAAAGCGTCATAACCCATCGCGGCCAGTTTGAGGAGATCCCTCAAAATCGCCTAAGAACGACCAAGCCAGAGTTAACTCCGTGTCCTCACACCGTCCCTCACATCGTCTGCCTCACTAAGCGACTTATTTTTCGACAATAATCCCAGATAGCTCGAAAATTTTGCACGAAGTGGTAACGTCGTCATACCGGGAACGATACAAATTAAAGAGAATGTGAACATCGAGGCCAGCTCGACACGACCGCGACATCTAGACTTATAGGACGAAACAATACCTTAAATGGCATATCAATCAATAGAATGTAAAAAGAAGAAGAGGAATAAAATGAAAATAAACGAAATATTCAAGAACTGAGGTGGCGACAAGATCAGTACACCAAGTATCCAGACGCTTTGAAAAGAAAAAAAAGGAAGCAAATTCTACACGATACCTACACCATAAATAGCTACCTGGGGATGAGGAATAACTAAATAGATGCTTCTGTAGCATTGATTAGATCTATGACTGATGTGATTAAAAGAAGAACATACTAGATTGAAATAGAATAGACAATTTTGATCGACCGATCACACGCTATGTCACTACATTTTCGTCCTTTTCAAGCCCATTCCATTCGGTAAACTTAAACCGTTGATCAGCTGCTGTGCTTGTGGTATATACATACTGGTATGTTGAGTCGATAGTAAGTCGACCTAAATCTTAAATTGTCAAATAGATACGATAAATTTCAAATTGTGTACAAAACGAGACAACACAAATGAATGCGTAAAAAACTTCCAAACTTAGCCATAAGTTATGCACCTAAAATCATCCAAAGTAGTAACCAATACAGTATTCTATGTCCATCTCAGTCCTCTTCCAAACTAAAATTTTTGTATTCTTTCACTCGTTCGGATAATAAAAACTTTCCATAAAACATTATCACATAACAATTGTTAAATTTGAGCTCATACCTAGGGAGGACCCCACGATAAGGTCGGAGATCGAAGAAGAAGAACACCAAGTGGAAAGGAAGGCCGCTAAGTGTAAATACTTAATTTGCGCGTTTTTCGCACAAGGCTATGATCTGCATACCTGCCCAAAATGCGAGCGGGAGACGTTACGCCCCCACCTCCCGCATTTACGAAGCTATACGCCCTACGACTGGCCAAACCCCGCCGTCGAATTCTAACCGGATAGAAGCCGTTTAGCAGAAACACAGAGCCAATCATTACACCCGGCTTAGCACAGTGAGACTTCCCACCAAAGACGGTAAACTAAGGGTAAGAGGGAAAGTATGCAATTCTCGATGTTCTTGCTCTTTCTTGGTTTCCTTCACCCTGCATCCCGACCCCTCCCTTGGCTATTCGGACTAGCCTGTTTAATCGTGAGTTCGACCTCTATAGGAATTCGTAGTAATCGCCCTGTGTGTGTTCCTGTCGATAATGTAAGGCAGATGTTAGTAGCAGCGTCGCTGAGCAGCGAAGAGTAGACAATCGGGAAACTGATTGAAATCCTTCATAAGCCCACGCGCTTTGACTGTATGGTGTTTAGACGGCGTTGGATTGTTCGGGCCTCTCTCACAAGAAGAGTACATTCAAGAAGGAACCATTACCTACGTCTGACAACATCATGCTTTTGAGTGTTTCTGACAGCTCCGTGTTTCCTTACAATGTTATCCAGCAGTACATCTAGCTTTAATTTATGAAGTTAAAAGTTATTCCATAGCATTCGCGCACTGTGGGTTCTACAATTCGACGCCTGAAATTTGCTGCGTGACATAGGTGGTAGCAAGAACCATCAGCGTATTATATGACACTTATTACAGACTAGACATCACTCGTCAGCTCACAATGACTGGGCGGTAGCAGAGCAAGGAATGCAAATAATAGCCTCTTGAAGTACACTCAAAGAGCGGACGCTTTCAAGATAGGGTTTGCCACATGTTCAGTTATATTATAAAGTAATGGGTTGTGAGAACACCATAATTGCTGTAAAAATTTATTTCGTAATTTAGCAAAATCTCCGGCATTATACATTGAAGTCACTGGATCATGGAGGGCATAGGGGAAGGTAAGGAGAAGAATAAATTGCTTCATAGACTGCAGGTCCAAATCTAGTTCGAGATTAAATTATTTCAATGTGATGTCCTCATTCCGATACCCACGGAAACTGGATTTCGAGCTAAAGTTTTCAAATATTAGTCGATGCTTTTTTTCTCATCTTCTTCTGACAAACCTGTATTCATCTGAATTGTGTTACCAACTTAACACTTTGGGTCGGAGGTTTCTTCCAGAAGCGCCACCAACTACTCACACAAAACACCGAACAAGACGCACAGGTTAGCCATTGACACTCGGTGATAGAAAATAAAGCCTTTATCCTTCGAGTTGGCCCATAAGTCATAGGTAGAGTTATCAGTCAGTACTTGTTGCGTTCAGCTGAGCTGATAATATATTAAGTAAAATTCTAAACTCTTTCGAAAGATCATTAAATTAGAGAGGAAAAGTCTTGCAGAACGCTTGTCAATGCAGATGAATAGAATTCCAGATTATATTCCAAATTACAATCCTCCTCCCTCAATGGTGCTATGCATAAAGTTAATCGGTAGACTTTTGAGTTAAGGATCTACGGATTTTCCTGGCAGATTTCACTGAAAGTAAGCAGTTACCTCGGCAGTTGTTCAGAATTTGTAACTCTTAACAATTTAAGGAACCGTAGTCGGCACCAATATCCAACCAGTCTTATCACCGCCATGCTGTTCCCAAATGGAAGAGGCGTAAGGATAGTAGTGTCGTCCGAGCGCATTCCTATACGAAAATTTGTTCCATTGTAACTCTGCCAATTAATCTATTGCATGCGGTTCACTCAAAGCAAAATCTACTTTGTATAATATATTACTATCATCATCTAACCTGTGATAAACTCAACGATTAGATCTTACATCAACAGGTGATTCAGCACGTAGATCGGTGCTCAGAGGCATTCCTTTCAGACACACACATCGAGCCTCTCGTTCCCGAAGTAGGGCAGTCACTCGCTCGAGCTCACGTCGAAGAACCTGATTCTGAGTCGTGTAATGCACACCATTGCAGAATTCATGACTTTCAATGAGTTTACTCCAGATTTAGTGCACTTTCTTCTTTCTATCGGTATGCACACGGAGTGTATCATATCGTATGGTTTTCCTCTTTCGTTTCTTAACGGACCGGCGGCCCTTGATCTGCTCTCGTAATGATAGTATGCCTGTCACTTATAACGAAAGTCAATAGCGAAGATGATAGACTTCGACATGACAAAGGACGTATGAATGAAAACTTACGCGTCTTTTACGCAAAGAAGTTACCCAGGGTAAGGAGTTACACCGCGCTCTACATATAACTAAGTAGCTTAAAGACTCCAAGCGCTGCTTCTTTAAGAAACTAAAAAAACTGTAACGAAATGAAAAGTGACACACTTCCTTTCATCAGGTAACATATCTGCAGCGGATGATGCTCTTCCTCGACCACGCCCTCGACCTGTGCCAGACGGTGGCGGTGGGACTTCACGTTCAGCACTGCAATTTTCACCAATGTATTTCAGCCTATTAGTAGAATTCGACAAAAAAAAAAACCCTAACCATTTACCTTTTCACGTTTACGTAAAAATATGAATTGCCGCGAGGATTAGTGCAAAATTGATATGGTCTCATCGCGACCATGCTGCATATGGGTGGTTTCAACCTTATTTAGGTGAATCGGACCCCATCCTGCCCCTCAATTCCCATTGCTTTGAAGTCCACTGATTGAATGCTACCGGCCCTGACCGTTTAAATCACTAACCATAGTATAATGTGAGTAAATCACGGAGTGGACCTACCGATGCCCTACAATTTGCAAAAGGACATACGTAAGATGCTTCTACGAAATAAGTTGGCTCAAAAACACCAACGTTCGATTCCTCATTCACTGACCATTACCTGTAATACGAAAATGGGATATAGCTGTTTCCAAGCAAAAATGTTACTAGATTTATTAGCACGGGAAAAATTGGACTCTGAGAACTACTTGATTTGGCCTCTAAAAACTATATGTGTAACTAACAATTCTACCCTGGAAAGCAATTTGAAAAGAATCTGCACACTTCATAGCGACTTGGAGCATTTTCGTCAAAATAATATGAACCGCCCAACCTACCTTGATTTCCCTGAACTACGATCATCCAATGAGAGTAGTTGAGGGGCACCCGTTGATGCAACTGTTGGAGGCAATGTGCCACAATTTGACGATGGCATCAACTCTTGCTCTTGCTCAAAATATTGAGAGGCATTCTGAAATGCTTTGATTAACAAATTTCAACGAAGTAAACATACGCACTGTCCAACAAAATGTCAATATTCACTACTTTTTCTGGGGATTTCAGAGATCATTTTACATGAAAATGCAGACGTGGTTATGCAACTAACAAAGTTCCCCTAAAGGCATGACAACGTCTCCATATTGTATTGATTGACATACGTGTTTGCTGACGGGAGGCTTCACATCACGTGGATCCCAGCTCGCCGGATCGACGCCGGCCGCTGCCGCAACTGCCGACGCTGCAGAATGCAACGCTGATAGCAGATGGGCTTGCGAGGCCACTGGCGTCACAACGTCTGACTCACCAGATGGACGCTTCCTGAATAAAACCGATGGTAAATGTAGTCATTGTGTTGTGAAAGACCACCAAAAAAGTAAATAGGATACGGCAGAAGGAAATCATGAAAAATCGAAAACCATAGAAGACTCACTCGAGCACGGGCTGATCTTTCATGCTACGTGGCGACTGCACTGGGCTTATCGTAACACTTCTTGGCGGCGCTGACAAAAGTCCCCCGCTTGTCGACGGAACGCAGTGAGCAGCGGCAGCTGAAGCCAAGATCCCAGCTGAGTTTGGAGCAGATCCGGACGGCGTTAACGAGGAGAACATTGAGAAGTCCGGCCTGAAAAAAGAAGTCCGGTCTCAGCTTAAAAAAAACCAGAGCCACCTTATAAATAGCAGCTTTCAAAATTAGTGAGCAAAATAAGATATATTTACAAAACAAACCTGGGGCCGATGTCAGACTTTGCGAATCGAGCGATTCGCTAGCGTCCGCGGTCGCGTTGCGGTACCAGCCAATTGAGTGATTCACTGGCCGCGACGCGACCGCAGACGCTAGCGAATCGCTTGATTCGCAAAGTCTGGCATCGGCCTATCATTTTTTAGTTGAGTAGCCAAATGTGAGAAAATTATGAGAAAACGTCAGAAGAAATGCCAGATTTCAAATTTCAGGAGATGATGAGTAATAAACTTTGTCCTCTTGCGACGCCCACCCGAGTATGAAGATGGCAATTTGTCCAATGAAGTGGTGAGGTGACTCACTTCTAATATTTACGACCCAGGTATAGCCACATCGAAAACAGTGCACTGTGGCACACCCAAAAAGCAAAAAGAAAGCATATTGCCCTCACAAAACTGACTTTTTGGTAACTAACTTCATCCGTGAAAGTAATCCGAAATATGAGTAAATTTCGAG